GCAAAGTTGTGATCGCATAAAGGCTCCATACAACATCTCGTCAATCGGAGTTACGATTCATGAGATATGGTCAAAATACTGACAGGGGGTCAAAGCTGCCAACAACATCCTCTAGCTTCAGATTGTAGAATCTTTCTTTGTGTGATCAATTCGATCGAATGTTTTTTGTCCAAAACAACATCCAAGCATCCCTCAAAATCCTTCATAAGTTCCAATCTCCATTTAGGCTCCAAACATGCATCCAACTGCTCTCCAAGTACTGCTTCACTCGAGCTATCTAAAATTGACATAAAAAATGCTAACTGTACGAAATTCTAATAAAATACATGAGCTGAACATTATTCAATTAAATGAAATGAAAATATACAAAATATGATGCTAAATTATAATAAAAACTACACTAAAAGATTCATAAAATGACATCTAACAGTGTACTAGGTTGGGTGATCTCGAATGGTCCATGGAATATTCTAGGCGTACTCCAGTCAAGTGCAAACCCTAATATTGAGCCTTTGGAACCTATTTAAGCATCATTAACCCTTGGAACCCTCCCCATATTCAACCTCCATTCCCCTCAACCTGTAATCTCGAATCCCTAGCCTTCCTTTGAGTATTCTTGATCCTTTTTAGTGATTTGGAGTGTTCTTGGTGCACATTGAAGATGAAGGAGCTCTTTTGAGAAGTGTTGGTTAGCTTGGAACTTGTAGATATAAACTTTGTTCATCTTGATCTATCTTCTAAAGGTATATATTTTTAATCCTGATGACTTTCTCTTATAGATCGAGTTTAGGTGGTAATTGTCATGTTTTGGTCCCGTGGTTGTAGTTCTTATGAGTAGAAGTTACTCCAAAACCTTTGAGCCTCATATTTGGTCATTGTTGAGGTTATTAAATCATAAAGTTTGGATCTTGAGGAGTATTATTCATTCATGAAAGAATTAGTGACCTTTTTTATGAAGTTATAAAGCTTGGATTGTGGGTTGAGTCCCATCAAGACATGCAACGGAGTAAAGTTGGCAACTTTATGGATTAAAACCTTATTTAGAGGTTTAGATATGAGTTTGGACGTTTTGGTCTTAAGCATTAAGCTCTTAATGTGAAGTTTTGGTCCCCTGGTGAGGATGTTGGGCGTACGTATGTGTACGCTTAGTGTAATACATAGATTCCCTGATATTTATGTTGTGACAAGTTGTACTTTTGGCATCATCAGGCAGTATACGGGGTGTACTAGTCTAGTACACGGGGCGTACTCACAAGATTTCCTTTATGGGCCTTTTGGGGCCTTGGGTCTTTTAGGAATTGGGCCATGAGATGTTAGGTAAGTTGTGGGAAGGGTAAAATGGTCCTTTACCCATTTGAAGGATATAATATCGATTGGACCTTGAATTGGGAAATTACCTTAATTATTGATTAGGGATAATTTAGTTTACGTTCAGTGTGAGGATTCTAGCGGCAGCAACGCGTGTGTTCGGTTATCCTGGATTGAGGCGAGTCTCCTCACTGTGTTTGGCGGGTCGAAGGCACCAATGGCGGCCCATGGATTATTGTTGTTAGTATGTTAGTTGTTTATGTGACTCTTGCATGGGTTGTGTGTTTGTATGTATACTGGGTGGGGCTCGATGCCAGGCGGGTTCTATCATATGTCATTGACAGATCTGTATTGAGCGGGCCTCGATGCCCGGGGGGTGTCGGGCGGGGCCTGATAGATGCCAGGAAAGGTCCCTTGTATGTATGTATGATATGTGGTATTTTTGGGAACTCACTAAACTTTGTGCTTACGGTTTATGTTTATGGTTTCAGGTGCTCTCGGTTCGAAAGGGAAGGATTCGACTTGATCGCAGCGCATCCACCCATCCCGCACTTTATGATTTTGGGATTGTACTCTGATAACTATTCTTAATTGTATGCTTCTGAATTGAAAATGATAATTATATTTATGGTTGAATTAAAAATGAAACTTTTACCTTATGATTTTAGGATGTTACACATGTGTTTATGTTTTGTTTCATAACACTTCTGTCACTTGGTGTGTTATCGTCAAAAATACAATGAAATAGTAGCAAATAATGTATTGGTGGTATGCTCGACAAGGGTTTAGGTTTATCAAAAAAAACATTTACTAAAAGACCACAAATACTCAAAAAACATTTTCTATGCTTCGCACCTCATCGAGTCGGGAGATCGAAGCTGAAAGGTTTTCAGATTTTCACCTACTGTTTCAACGACCTGTACCATACACAACTAATGATGTACCGGTTCGACAAGTGTAAGAACCGAAACCGACACCGATACTAATATGCCTCCAAAGTATGGTGCCAAAGCTATGGTGTACACTCCATATTTTCCCTTCAAATTGATCGGTCAAAATGTTCATCCTTCATGAGACAGTAGGGGGAGTGACAAAGAAGAGTAGGTGTAAATAAATAATTGAAAAATCAATAAAAAAAAAATATAATTTTATATGGATTAGAGACTAGATAGCAATAAAAAAATACAAAGGCGCCATCCAATTGAAATATTTTTTTTAAAATCAAAACTTAAACATTAAATCAAATTAGATGGACGATTTATGTAATTTACTCTAAAGACAATAATATTGAATTACTTTTGTAAATATTGTATTCAATTATTTTCCAATCCAAAAATAAAAACATTTAATCATGTAAATAGTTCAATTATAATATTTGATTATTAATAGCAATATTAAATATCTTTTACTAAAAACAAAATATTTCTTACCAAAAAGTTGCCGACATTCTATAAAGATTATTAACATATCACAGACCGAGATTGGGTTTTAAACTTTTAATTAACGATTTAACCGCAAACTGCAGATAAAAACAAAGCATACGAGGAGGAGTTTTACAGTACAAATAAATCTAATAAAACTAATAAAACTTACTAAAACTAATAGTAACTAGTATTTCTTTTGTAATCTACCATTTAATTATCATCCAGAAACAAAAAATAATAATTTATTTAAAAAGAACAAATTAACAAAGTCGTACTTTTATTTTAAAGCAAACAGAACATGCAATAGTAATGAAATAGAAAGGTGTGTGACAACTTTTTATACCATTAAAGTATAGTTTTTCCATAATCATGGTATTCATAGGTTAATTATGTATGTGACAATACACAGGGAATGGTCGATTTTTTTTATTAACAAAATAGAAAAGAGGCGCAAGTTAGCTGGTCACGGGGTTGAAAGGGAAAAAGGAACGGCAAAGAGGAGCTTATGATAGACTGAAAGCGATCCAATTTGTACGGTGCGCATAGCTCACGGGATTCTATGATGGATGTAATTGTACGCCACCACACTATATTAGGCAGTGGGGCTCATATAAGTGTTTCTGGTCAAATAATATATTTTTTTGAGTAAATTATAAATTTGGTCTCCTAATACTATTTAAAATAATAGTGTTTTAGTTCAAACTATTAAAGTCGTCTATATATTTTTCTTTTTTGCAATTTTCTTATAAATGATAATATGAGTTCATATAGTGGACAAGTAATATATTACTTTTTTAAAAAAAAAAAATCTTTGTAGTCTATAAAAGAGACGTTTTTAAACCTTTTCGTATGTAAATTAGAAGTCGATTTAATAGAAGGTGATAACTAGTAATAAAGTTACGATTTTATCCTATCTTTTTATTTTTTATTGTTATTTATATCATTGTTATATCACAAACTTTTGTAATGTATTGTTGAAATGATTATTCGGTGTGTCGTATAATAATCATTTAAAATAATGGCTCCTCCTTGGTATAGCGTAATGAGGCTTCCCAGGCACTTAGCTGTCAAGGTTGATGCCCATCTAAGCGACCAAGCCTATTGAAATTTAAGGCTCCTACGTATATATATTTTGTTAGCTAATAGTCAATTGAGAGGTTTGTATGGAAGAACTCAAAAACTTCAAACTTAAGTAAATTGTTTCTCAAACTTAGTAACCTGTTTTGATATCTTGTAATTCTATATATATAATAAAACCACATTAATATTAGATATAACTAATAACAACTTATATTTTATTATAAAAAAGATAGATCTTCGCTGCCGGAAAAAAGAAACCGTTTAATGAGACGGATCGATGGATGGTGTATTTTGTGTTGGCGACGCTCTGGTGTGCTTCGGTGGCATCAATCTTCGGCGGTTGCTATGCTCCGGCAGATGAGGCGACGTTGTTGCTCTTTCAGATGGGGACGATGTTGTTGCTCTTTCACAGCAAACTGCAAATGAAAGTGAAAATGTTCTAACGTTTTTAGGGTTTTAATTGGGTAAATGGGTTGTACACTTTTAAAATAAATTAGTTTTGTAAGTGGATATTTCAAGTTATGCGTCGGTTGCTGTTGGAAAAACTCAAATACATATTTATGTTTAATTATTGCCTTTTGGTTATTTATATATATATATATATATATATATATATATATATATATATATATATATATATATATATATATATATATATATATATATATATAAACAGTTATTTTATATTATTTTACTTTTTTTAACAATTTTTTTGTTATATTCATAGTTTTACGAAAAAGATGTTGAATTTTTACGAGGAAAACTTAAATGAAGGCAATGAATTCTTTATGGGGATATTACCGTTTTTCACCAAACGGATATGATAGTTATCATGATATTGATTTTTTTTAATCATTGTAATGTTCACTAGTTATTAAGAGAGATTATTTGAATTTTAGATGTTCTATTCTCTAAATGAGTTGATGGGATGGGTCCAAAATAAAACATTTTCGCTTGGTTATGTCGTCGTGAGAAGAAGATCAAAGACAAATGAAAACGGTGTGGTGTCTTATGTCACACTTATTTGTGATCGTGGTGGTGAATACAAAATTAAAGCAACAAGTAAAAATTCCGGCACAAAAAAAAATCAATTGTCCATTTAAATTGGTAGGTTCGTATATAAAACAATTTGATGGTTGGACGTTGAGAGTGAAATGTGATCAACATAACCATCCATCTGCACAACATATGGAAGGACATGCTTATGCTAGACGGTTGAAAGAAAACGAAAAAAAGTTGGTGGCCGACTTGACAAGTCAGAATGTTGAACCACACAACATACTCTCGATACTAAAAGAGCATGATGAGAATAATGTTTCTATACTCAAAACCATATACAATGCACAATACAAGCTTCACTCGTCCCAGAACGATGGAAAAACTCCGATGCAGGTATAATATTTCAACAAGTATATTTTACATATAATTTATATATTGAATTTTTATTAATTAACGATATTTCAATGTAGGTTCTTATGAGAATTTTGAATGATAAAAAAATTGTTATCGAGTTTTCCGTAAATAATATTTCAAATGAATTGGAAAACCTGTTTTTCATTCATCCTCTGTCGTTAGATATATGGCAAACATTTCCACACGTTTTGATTATTGATGCAACATACAAAACAAACAAATATGCTATGCTTTTTGTTGATATTGTTGGAGTAACTTCAACCAACAAGACATTCAGCATTGCTTTTGCCTTTATCATTAACGAAAAGGAGGAAAGCTATAAGTGGGTGTTAACGTGTCTAAGGTTGACACTAGAAAAGTGCATGCAACCACGCGTTATAGTGACAGACAGAGAATTGGCATTGGTGAACGCATGCCAACAAGTTTTCCCTTATGTAACTCGCTTACTTTGTCGATGGCACATTACCGAAAATATTAGAAAGCATTGTAAGGCGCTAATCCCATTGAAAGCTGAGTGGAAATCCTTTCGTGCTATGTGGAGTATACTTGTTGAGTCTCCAACATGGACATCATACACTGAAAACTACAGAAAACTACAGTCAATGTTAAGAGAACATCAAGGTACAATGCTACTTACTTTTTAACTACTTGTTTATAAATTTAGAAGGTTTTTTATACATAAATAACATTTATTTGATTCCAGATGTTTTACAGTATTTGGATGATGTTTGGTTAAACAAGTATAAGGAAATGTTTGTCTCTGTTTGGATTGATCAACATTTGAACTTTGGACAACGAACCAGCCGCAGAGTTGAGGGCCAACATTCAGCGTTAAAGAAGTACTTACAAGAAAAAAATTATTCTTTAGCCAAGTTTGTTGGTGCTATTGATCGGTTTGTGAAGTCTCAACTTACAGCGATAAATGAGAGTTTTGAAAAGAGCAAGATCGTCTCCAAACACAAACACAAATTTTCGTGTTTCGATTTGTTGCGGGGTAATGTTTCACTTAAAGCTCTGGATATGCTTGTAGAGGAACTTCAACGGGTACATCAAGTTGACTCTTCAAACTGTGGTTGTAAACAACAAAATAGTTGTGACTTACTACGTGCTTGCATGCTATCAACATACTTGAACTCCGGTGGGTGCATTTGACAATTATTTTTTTAATTGTAGTTGTATATTGATTGTTTATATATTAATGATATTTCATTGCAGGTGAGTGCATTCCATTGGAATCAATAGATGTATTCTGGAGAAAACTTAAAATTTCACCGTCTATTCCTATGGAAAATGAGGATATATGTGGTGATGGTAAATTTGAAGTGTTTAAAGAAACCTACAATAAACAACCGGAAGCTGTGAAAAAAAGCATGATGAGAAAGCTACTAGATATATTCCAGCCTAGCAAAACACACATTAGAGAACCCGCAATTCAAAAAAATACGCGTGGACGACCAAGTTTGAAGAAACAAAAACAAAGACAAACTGATTCTATCAATCAAGCTCCTAGAAGATGCAGCTTTTCAACCGTGCCAAAATTTAATGAGTTGAACAATAGGGAACCAGCAAGACATAGTTCATACATAACCACAATTCCAGACTTGAATGAAATTCCAGACTTAAATGAAATTCCAGACTTGAAAGAAGAGCCAGACTTGAATGAAATTCCAGACTTGAAGGAAGAGCCTCAATCATGCTACAATCATCGACTAATAGATGAAATTCAAGTGATGTTTCATCCTTACATCACACGTATATAAGATGTAGAGGGGGATGGAAACTGTGGATTTCGAGCAATATCTGTTTGTCTTGGGTATGGCGAGAATGATTAGCTCTATGTTCGATTTCAACTACTAGACGAGTTATTGAGTTCGTATGATGCATATGCTAGAGTTTTCACTGATGAAATCGGTGAACTATATACTTCGTTGAATTTCTTACAATCACCGGCACCTACGAGATATTGGTTACTTATGCCTGAAACAAGTATCCTCATTGCCAACAGATTTGGTGTAGTCCTTACTTTTTTAACCAACAGATTTGGCTCACTCACTTTCTTTCCTCTTTGGAAAGGCACAGAAGAATTTTTGTACCATCGCGTTATTACGATTTCACTTGTATATGGTAATCATTATGTAATGGTACAATTAGAAGGAGATAGCCCACTGCCTACCATTTCAGCTTTTTGGATCCACCACAGAGCCCCATGTGCAGCTGGATGGGAAACTATGTTCATGTCACGTCTAGAACTGTATAGACAACTGAAACCTTACAATCCCGAAACACCTTTTATAACTATAGAGGATTGTTAGAGGGTATTAATTTTCTCTCGAATTATGCATTTATGTATTCATGAAGGATTGCTAGCTAATGCTATTGTTTTTTGCATCATATTTTTGTTTTTATGTATTCATTTATATTTAATTATTAAATAATATACAAATATATATATATATATATATATATATATATATATATATATATATATACACACACGTTATTAATCTATATTAATTAAAAATAAATAATTAATCATTTATATTTAATTTATATATATATATATATATATTAATTACTCCAAAAAATATATTAATATTCAAGCATAAAATGAAAAAGAAAATAAATAAAAAGTAAAGAAATTAAAGAAAAACAAAAAGTTGGGTATACAAACTTCAATGTAAAAAAACATTGTTGATTTTTTTTATTAGGGTGTTTTTTTAGTATAGGTTGTGTTTCTAGTAAATCTAAATGTTTATTTAGACATTCCCTTGTATAAAAAAACTATTCTTGGGAGATATAAACATTTAATTGTTTATGTGTTATCAGGTCTCTCTCTCTCTCTTAAATTATCTTGTAAAATATTATAAATTAAAGAGTAAATTACACGAATGGTCCTTATGGTTTGGGGTAATTTGCGCGTTTATCCCTAACTTATTTTTTTAACTCGGAAGGTTCCTACTGATTGTTTTATTATGTGTTTGCTCCATATTATTTGTTTTTGTTACGCGTTTGGTCCCTGTCATACATAAAAAGACTATTATTTAAATAGGAAAAAATGATGGGGTACGTAAGGTAAGGTGAAAATGGTGAGATTAGGGGTGTGTTTATTTAAATAAATTAAAAAATAAGGAAAAATAGACTTTTTATGTAAGACAGGGACCAGCACGTAACAAAAACAAACAGTAGAGATTTTCCGAGTTAAAAAAATAAGTTAGGAACTAAACGCGCAAATTACTCTAAACCATAGGGACCATTCGTGTAGTTTACTCTAAATTAAATTTGCCACCATTTGAAGCCTTGGAGCATTCTTTGGAATATATATGCACTTGTGATCTTGGTACCAACTCAAAACTGCCGTGTGAAAGAAAAACAATTGTTTTTGGTGGAGATTTTAAATAAATTCTACATGTTATTTCTAACAGAAGCAGGCAAAACATTGTCAATGCTTCTTTATATTCCTCTTACATTTAGTCAAATTGCAAAGTCTTAACATTAATAAAAAAAACATGAGGTTAAATGTTCTCACATCCGATATTCAACAAACGACAACTTTTGCAAAATGGATTTTGGATATATGAGAAAGAAAGGTTGGTGGTTTAAATGATGGTGAAACAATTATTGATATTCCTAATGATCTTCTCATTGTTGATTCGACTGATCCTATTGGTTCATTAATTCAATTTGTTTATCCTTTTATCATTGAAAATGTCAGGAATCCGATTTATTTTCAAGAGAGAGCAATCATTGCACCGAAGAATAAAAGTCGTTCAAGAGATTAACGAACGTTTATTAAAATTATTTTAGGAGCTTAACATGAGTATTTAAGTTCAGATAGTCTTTCACATGCAGATTTTTTCACGATGATTTTGATGAAACTTTATATTCCTATGATGTTCTAAATGGTCTTAGACCTTCAGATATGCGAATTCATAAGTTTGTATTAAAAGTTGGTGTTTCGGTTATGTTACTAAGAAATATTGATTAGAAATCCGGATTATGCAATGGAACACGGCTACGGGTTATTGCCTTGGGCAAACGTGTTATATAAGTTGAGATAATATCTGGAAGTAATATCAGAAACCATATGTTTATTACAAGAATGTCTTTGATGCCTATGAATAAACAGATTCCTTTCATATTTCAAAGACGACAACTCCTACTAATTGTATGTTTTACGATAATAATAAATAAAAGTCAATGCCAGTCACTATCGAAGGTATTGTTGTTTTTTAGACAACCAATATTCACTTATCGATAGTTGTATGTTGCATTGTCGACAATGAAGAGTAAAGATGGATTAAAGATGTTAATTTTAGATAAATATGGTAAACTTACCAATACGACATCTAATGTTGTATTCAAAGAAGTCTTTGGAAATTTGTAATTCATAAAAATAAGTCTTAATATTTCAATGAGTGTTTTTATTATTATACATTATCGTACCTACTTATTCATTATTTTGTTTTTATATATTTAGCAATTTTATTTAATTAATATTTAATGTTTACAACATTATTGTCATCATCATTTTATAAATAGGTACATTTTTATTTTATTTCTTTATATATCGAAATAGTTAATTTATTATATATATATATATATATATATATATATATATATATTTGTCTTTATGTAAAATTATTACTAAAAAACATGTAATGCTTAAAAAAATATTTTAATTTTTTTTTAAATTATATCTATTACATGAGTCTCACACCTACTCTACAATAATAAATAAGAATAATTTGCATGTTATCTTCTCAAAGCATTTGCCACATGTTATCTTCTTTGATATCATTCATATATTACTCCAATTTCAGATAATCTTATATAACAGTTCCAAATTTATACAATTTTTAATGAAAGAAATTCAATATAATGTGTTAAATCATTTCTGTAGTGTTACCCTTTCCCAGATATCATTCAAAATGATGTATATATACGATTTCATACTTATTGTAATGTTGTTCTCTGTATCCAAAATTATTTGGTTATTTTTCAAAAGCTATGTAATCATAATCGATCGCATCACCATCTACACAAGGTTACAAATTGATTTTGTGAAATAGGAAAGATTTTATTAAATGTTATTGTGTGTTATACATGCATCTTTTGTAAATCAGCTGACTATTTGAGTATGCAAAGTCTATGTATTTTTCTTCTCTTTTCATTAGCCCCTGTTGAGGTATACTATTTGAAGACTTTTGGATGTTGGAATGCATATATGATGTTCGATAGAACGTCTTAAAGAAAGAACTGTTGACACCGACTTTTGGATGTTGGAATGCATATATGATGTTCGATAGAATGACTTAAAGAAAGAACTGTTGACACCAAAGACTTTTGGATGTTGGAATGCATATGATGTTCGATAGAATGTCTTAAATAAAGAACTTTCTACACCAAAGACATTTTAATTATTTGATTTGGTTATCTTTTGGATGCATTTGTCCAAGTTGATAGAAAATTTTAAATTGACTCTTTTTGTTATAAATTAGGTGGATAAGTCACTCTCTTATTGGTATTCTGATCACTTTAGTCTTTTGGCTACGTTTAGTTACAATGTTCATAATATCTCTATAACAAATATTTTATAAATATGATAATATAATAAAACATGATAGATGTGTGGTTACCTTAAATCACCCCCAACATAATTGAAACTCGATTTTGAAAAAGAGAAAGTCACATTAAACATCAACATTTACATGTTCTTGTGAGTTAATTGTTTAATTTATGATGTAGGACTTATATGAATGAATAATTTTTAGCAAGTTATCCTTCCAATGAATAATGGTATGGGTACATTAATCATACTGATTATAGAGTACTACATGCATAAGGTATTGTGAGTTATCTTTCCTTCCAATCATAGTTTTATATAAAATTAAGAACTACAAAATTTGTTTCATCTTACTTCGACTTTTTTTTTTTTTATGTATATTAAATTATTTCTTTGCATATAGTAGACTAACGGTTTATTGATCAAATTAATTCATTAAAAAACCCAATTTGTAATGGTGTATTTGATAAGCTACCACTAGATTTGTTTCTCTATCAAGCACCAGTTCAAGGAGACTATAGGAGCTGTCCATGGATAACATTACAACGCACAAAAAGATGCTCCTCAACCTTCCCTCAATCCACAGTTATGAAAGTAACCTTACTTCTTTGTCGTATTCTTTTAAGTATTTATTTATTGATTCCCAAATATTAAAGTCCTTATTTTATATATAACTTGGATACCGGTTAATTTCACTCAACTTCTTCATATTTTTGTATAATTATACTTGTTAATTTTTTTTATTTCCATGGTTGGTGTAGAACGTAGGAAACAAGAAAGGGCCTATGACTAGCTCATATCAGAATTACCTAAAACACCTGACCCTAAAGGTGTTTTAATATTGATTATAACTTGTAAAAAATAATAAATAATTTAAATACTAAAAACATAAGAAACGAAATGTTTACCAAGGGGTAACAGGTAGACTTTGATCGTTTTTTTGTCCTACAAAAGCACTAGGTTGGACTTTCGCTTAAACCTGATGATTAAAGATAGAATAAAAGAAGAAAAGGGTAAAAATGACTTGGTTTTATTTATTAAGATCCTCATACTTAAGTAAATATGGTTAAAATTAGGATGATACTTCATCTTTTGTTGTAAAATGAGCTATTATTATTTTTTTTAATCAAAGTTTCTTGAAGCATGGTTTGAGTGTAAGGGCATTTATGTCTTTTTGACTCGCCCTTGATACCATTTTCTTTGTTCTTTAAACTTTCAGCATGCATAACAAAAGAATTTATTTGGAATCACGTGGTTTGATTGGAACAACTTCACGATAAATGATGGTCCTTAGCAACATAGTCTACTAAACATATGAACTTAATTCTTATTTTGTAGGTTGAATTGATGATTTTTTGGTTCTATAGACTTTGAATAATTGATATATATATATATATATATATATATATATATATATATATATATATATATATATATATATATATATATATATATATATATATATATATATATCCAACTTCATTTGAGACAATGCTAATTTTGTGAGACCGTGAGACTCAAATCTAAAAATAATTTTAAAATGCAAAATAAAAGGAAAAATCCAAAAATTCTTTTTATAATTATTATTTTCGGAACTTTAATTACCTAAAAAAAAAAAAAAATTACCGTTTTTTTTTTTTTTGAAAAATAAGTAAAACATTCTAATAGAATATTACACTGTAAATATTCTAATGTGATTTTTAGAATGTTAGAATATTATACTAGATTTCTCAGATATATAGAATATTC